GGGAGGGTACGTAAGAAGGAGGGGTAGGAATGAGGGAGGGAAGGAGGGAGGGAGAAGGAAGGATGAGGGAACGAGGGAAACAAAAGCAGAGACGACGCACGGGCAAAAAAATGGTCCGCATCTCCAGGATCGGATCTCCTCCCTCCCTCCCTCCCTCCCTCCCTCCCTCTTGTTCCTTTCGTTTGGACAGTACCTGCGACGAGCTAATTTGACAACATCCCTCTTCGTACGGCAGCTAGTGGAAAATGTCAACATCGAGCCTGTGCGATGTAAATGTCCGGGTAGGGCGGTAGACACACGCCCAAAAATGTTTTTGGTGCGTGAGTTAGTGTGCCGCGCTTGGGGGCTTAAGATGGATCGACGCCTGGTAAGAGGGAAGGTCGTGGATGGAAAATAAGGCAACGTCGCAAATTTTAGGGACAAGGAGTCTGTAAGTTGAAAGACACGCTGTCGAATGTCGTGCGTGGAGGGGTGGGAAAATTCGTGACATTGAGGTGGAGGGGACGTCAAAAAAGTCGAGGAGAGCGCGTCCGAGATGGTGTACGGTGTGCGACATCAGTGAAGAAAAAGACACACATCTATGGAATAAACCTCACAATGGGGGCATGAGACCATTCTCTCGCTCGACGCCAGGCCCTCCTAGGCCTTTTAGACGACGGCGTACGGGTTAGGAGAGTTGGGGGGGGAATGCATATCATGGCGCGGCGTTTTGGTCGGGGCGAACCTAGTCGTCGTGTCCACGTCGTGCCAGAAACAATCCATACAATTGACCGCACCGACGGGCACCTCCACTCTTCTCAATACAATCTCCAAACAGGAGAAAAGGGTGTCCACACCATGAAATTGCGTCGTCGTGGGGGATCAGGGCGGGTATGAGATGGCGAGGGATGCGACTAGACCGGTTTGTAAATGTAAGCGAGGTTGCGTAAGGCGGAATATTTTTAAATCGTGAAAATTCCGATCCAGGACGAGCATTCTTGCGACTTTGGTCCGGTTGACGCCGAGCATCCATTTTCACGGGGCGTGCTTTCTTGGCAAAAAGACTGTGTCAGAAGTTTTTGACATGCCGTGGTGGGAAAAAAAGGGTTGGCCACACATCATGGATGACAGCATTTGCATTTTTTTTTTAAATTTCGGGACGGCAGATCGCTTAACGACGTCACAAGCCATAACGATAGCGCTAGCGACAAGAAGACCAAAAGCCCATCGATCCCGAAAGAAATAGCTCGACGCGTTCCCGAGATAATAGAGTACCACCAAACTCTGAC